TTTATATATTTAATTTCTATACAATAGGCCATTATTCACTGGTCGTCGAAGAACTGTCAAACGTTTGACACAGGGGTCGGTGGCGGCATCTAACACAGAACCATATGAACCCGGTAGTCACTACGTAGTTCCTCACGAATTGGGAACGATTTTGCATAGAGGCGCTGCATGCAATCGTCTTAGAATCATAGGAATATTAGTGGATTCTTATTGGATTCTTTACACGCATTATATTTCATATGAAGCCGCTATGTAGTTCCTCACAAATTGGGAACGATTTTGCATAGAGGCGCTGCATGCAATCACCTTACGAACTAAGGAATATTAGTGGATTCCCATTGGATTTCTTAATACCCAAATATATCTAATTTTTTATGGATATATATTGAGATTTAAAACAAATAATAGCATGGATAGAAGTTCATGGATTTTTAAAATTGAAATTAAATATACAAATCGATTAAAATATATACATTTACAAACATACCTATTTGTAATTAATGCAGTCACTGTAGATTGCACTTACTGTGGAATTGTAAGACGTCTATTAATAAAATATTATTATTTTCAATAAAAAAATAAATTCCTGAAATAAAAGTTTAAATATTTTCAACTGAAAAGTACAGTTTATTCACATATACTTAATATTGATATTAATTTTGATAATACAAACTCAATTTATCAATTCACAAAATTTTATTGTTCTGCAGGCAAAAACGAAATTACATTGATATTGATAACTAATGAATAAGATATAATTTTAAAACTAATATATAATTTGTTCTATTTGTAATAAGCAAAAACAAAATTACATTAATATATCTATATTATATATCTATATATATTATATATATATATAGTTATTATATATATATATATATAATAACTAGTGAATAATATATAATTTGTTCTATTTGTAAAGCAACAACAGAGATATAATTCTTATTATTATATGACAGTCGATGTTATTAACTGTACAATTGTAAATTGTTTATTAAATACTTAATTTATACTTGTTATGACTATGAAACAATCATATTATATATATGTATACTTATACATATATATATACGATATACATAAGTATACTTATAACTTGTAAAATAGCAGTTCGAATACATTTTGCATGGATATAATAATTATGTTTCTTAATAAAATAAATATGGATCTTTTACTACAAAAAAAAACTAATAACAATAACAGTATCTAACAAAAATAAATAAAAAATTGTAACTAATTTTATATAGACACATTTGTTTCTTTAACACTCTCAAAAATCAAGCTTATTAAACACACATACATATTCTAAGTTAGAATTTTAGAAATAATTAAGTTACAATTAAAATTCTATGTACATTTCAATTGCCAGAGCATAGCACTCTTATTATATTATCATTAGCCATTTAAAACTATCAATAATGCACTTGTATTTGTATGGAACACCATTAGTTTTATAAATATGCTTGTTATAAACAGTTTAAACAATTTGTAAAAAATCTTTACAAGAGATACTTCAATATAAACAGTATCATATACAACCAAAACCAGTCTTTAAATAATTACACTGTCGACTTACTTCTAACAAAGGTACAAAGATAATTTACTAAATCATTATAACATTCATGCTCAGATATTTCATCTTGCTTATTGATTATGCTGACTGATTGGTTCAAATCGATTACATCAATAGGTGGTTTTTAAACAATCAAGGTGTGTGTGGAGCTTGTGTGAAACTGTCGAAGACCATCAAGTTAGAGGTAGTACTAAATCCTGGGTTGGAGTTAGTCGACTGTAAGGTACTGTTCTCAGGACATACACAGAATGGTGTATTGCAGACAGATAAAATCTGGATAGGTCGTCATGCTGGATTCTTGAAATCTCCTATAATGGAAATAATAGAGTAATAATAAAATATGATAAATTGTAGTATTCAATTTAAATTCAATTTGCCGATAAAAGTATATTTATTATAAAAAATATTATAATTATTTCTGGATATGAAAGGCAGCAATCTACAACTAAACAATTACCTAAAATGTATTTAAATTTATTAAGTTGAGTAATTTATATAAAATAAAACTGCAATTATGGTTCAATTCTATATGAAGTTCATATAAATTTTTTAATATGAGCAAGTGTTATATCGACATGACAAAATGATGATTTACTTAATGACTTATGAAATTTCCTTACATACGACTATTATTAAATGTCTAAATAAGTTTATTGCTAGATTCATGGATTGTATTTTTATCTCACCATTCTTAGGTAAATTTCCACCATCACTTCTTGAACAGGTATGAATAAGCACATTTTTCTCGGGTTTACAAAGACTATCACAGAAACAAAAACAAATTCTGCCAGATATACTTATGCAGTCAACACTCAACATCATTATAAGCTGCTTCTCCTAAAAATTTAAATAATTGATAAATAAAATAATAAATTTAGAATTCTGATTGTAATTACAATCACTTAAGTGCACGATCAGATTGCATAAATTTAAAGAAATTATTGCTTTGCCAAATGCATAAGCTGGAACTTTATGTGCAAAAGTTTTCCTATAGCTTGGATTAACTATTTTAATTAATTTAGTTTTTAAATGTTGTTTTAGTCTTTAACTTAATTGTCTTTGAAATGAAATATGCTATGAAATGGAAGTTGATGTATGTTCCTTTGATAAATGATGGACAGTACACTGTTTCGTATGACCAGTTCGAAAATTTGTTCAAATCAAGTTTAATATATTAAATGCAATAAAAATAGAATAATAAATATTGAATTTTGTGTATATATACAATACATGAATATATTTACTATAACAATTAAAATAATTAATTAAATTGTTTTTGATTTAGTCAAACGATTCTTATTTAATCACTCAAATAAATGTAATAAGTATATAATATATTCCTTAATATATACCTTGAAAATTAGAATCCTGTAATACATTTGTGGGTGATCACCTTTGGAGCGAATACTTTAATTTGGTAATATAAGAAGCGCAAACATATCAATATATTAATTAAAATTATTAATATCATGTCTATGATATATTTGAAAAATACAAATGGAAATAAAATATATAACAATTAATTTATTGATGTTATTGATTTTATTAATTACATGAAATTAAATAATTCATATGTATTCATTTATTACTACATACAATTTATCAAATTGAATATGGAGCAGTTAATATATCTATTCGGGAATGTATATGGCGGCTAAGAGCATTTGTTTGCGTCTTGAATAATGAGTTATTTACAGAACATAAGTATATATTATCGAAATAAATTTATTTGTTAATCGATAAATTAACAATTTCAAGGTGCTTTCTCAAAGATTAAGTAGTAATTGAATCTTTTACCGATAATAGAAACTGAAATTTATCAATTTTTTTTTTGCAAATACATCTATAGAAGTTATTCATAAATAGATTGCTTCATATAAATACTGCTAATTATAATAAATCATCACATTTTAATATTTTGGGTGAACAAAAAAAATATTACCAAATTGTGGAAATTTTGGGCTACAAAAAAGCAAGTAGATAAGTAAAATAGAGATTTAATTCTCGAATATCCGATTATCGTACGATATACTTTGCTCTGGTATAAATAAATATCTCACATTGATCATATATATTATTATAAAAATAGTTATTACTATTCACTTGTAAATTACTATAATCTTTAATTCCATGTGATACGAGACTAACATCACATTTCGATAATTTTAATACAATCTACTCTATATTAATTTTGGTAACATTCATATTCATGAGATGACGATTTTGGAATAAATCAAATTTAGTATTATATTAAAAGAATGTCACCCCAAAACTTTACAAGTAGAAATATAAATTGAAGTTTTTCTTCTCACATTGTTTCACATAAATTTTAGAATTTTGTTTATAAAGATAAAATGAAAAAACAACTTACTTAGTAAAGTTTCGTTACTATTAGTACTCTAGTATAAATTTGAAAATGTGTAAACACGTTTCTATATATTGATCATAAATTCTATATCATAGGTCATTTATTTTCTACTATTCTAAAGCGTATATTCTTTTAAATGTCTTCATAATATATATTACTCTAGATATATGCAACATCCACGATCACAAAGTATATCTTTCCATAAAACTCTGATTTATACAACAATTTTTACAATAAAATAAAAAAATATATATAATTTATCGTACATAGTCAAAAAAAAACATTATATAATATAAACGTTTACGACAAAGGATTTCCATATAGTAAATTGTTTTCACCGTCAAGTAATCTTTAAAACAAAGCATAATTTCACATTCAAAATAGTTTTATAGGCTGTTCAATGACGATATCTAAAATTACACATTTTAGTAAGTAAGTCTTATTTACTATTGTATTTTTTCAACTATATTATGATTATTAAACTCTTATTAGTTGGTCATAGATCTCAATATGATACTTTTCGTAAAAAAACAACCTCACAATTTAAAAAATATCACATAGAATAAAATTAAAAGTCTCAAAAGTATGGAAAAGAATTGTGAAATAATTGAACTTTTCAACTGTAATTACAGTTCAACTAGAGCCATGTGTATATTGATATATCTCACAACCAAAAATAAAAATGTAGGTTTAAAATTAACCCTTTCCACTCGCTAATTCCGAGATTTATATGAATTTTGCCGCCAGAGCGGTGGCATCCGAGTGGAAAGGGTTAAATATGAGTTCAAGTTTAAACATATCACCGCGTAACTTTACATCGTCAATACTAAATCCATTTATTGTGAGAACTAGCAACTCAAATTTAATCAATCACTAGAAAAATTAACACCCAAAAAAGTGTAATTAAAACCACACCACTATGACATACTCATTTCTGATAAACGTTATATAACTATATATTTATATTCTATTCTAATTCTAATTCTACTTAAAAATAGAAATATTATAAGCTACATAATTTGGTATCAGTGGAATGATTTGCAGCATTGAATTTTCCCCAAAAGAATAAATATAATGTATATATTTAATATATAATTTTAATATAGATTATTTCATTTCCTAAATGTTTACTATCCGTTACCGTACCGACCGTGTCCTTCTAGAAAGTTAGGCCGAAGTCTGGACGAGCAGAACTATTGTTTCGCTCCTGGTCCATTCGATAGAAATTTCTGATCGTTTGATAAACATTTGACCAGCTTCTCGCCATCTTCGATCGGATGGCTTTCTTGTGCGTATGCTTCCATCAGAAGCAAATTTTCGAAGTCAATTGAGAAACGCCTAATAGCACTATGTATCCGATTGTCATTTTTCTGAAAAATAATAGCAGAAAATAAGGCAAAGCAATGACTCTTTTACTACGGCGGCGTTTTCCGCAGGAGTAACACTGCTATACGGAACAGCCACTTGGACCAACTTGATATTTCCAATATTTTTTTTTTTATTTTTTTTATTTTCATTAATGAATTACAATCTGTCGTTAAAAACAACATTCAGTAATTTTAATGGTTTGTTAAATAAGGAAAAAAGGTCGAATGGTCACCCAGTGGTAATCCGGTTCGAGGTTGGAATAAATTAAAAATTAAAATGTAGTTAAAAATGATAAATACTTTTCTAAAGAAAAAAAGATATAATAAATTAGAATCCTCTTAGAGTGATGAATGTTGAAGCAAGGGTCGACACACTGGATGTCGCCTATAGGCAACATTCGTAAAGAAAAGGATAAAAAAATTGAAGGTAATAAAAATTTACTTAATGAAAAAGGTCTTTCACCGTTGAGAAATCAACTGATAAACCAATAAAACAAAACATAAAATGATTTCAATTTACTTAATTTTTGATTTAATTTATTTAATTCTCACATAAAATATTCATTTACTTCCAATTCACTTTGTGAAACAATTTGAATGTGCAATTCATGCTGATATGTATGCAAAAAACGATTTAGAAACTAATAAAAACAATATATCGATAAATAAATCAAATCGATAAAATACATAAAATGATAAATAAACAATAATATAAATATAAAAAAATGATGTGCAAATGTAACTTACTAATAAACCAAGTAAATCACCCGTGGTGTAACATCGAATAGGCGAATCCCAGCCAACTGTATAGACAGACACCAAATTTGACAACATAAAATTGATAAAAAATAAAAATTAAATAAATAAAATGAATAAATACATAATAATGGAATTTTCTTAATTAAAACTATATAAAATATAATATGCGAGTGCATTTTATAAAAAAATATGTATATGATCAACACATTTTTCAATAAATAAATCAGAATATTTTTATGAACAACACATACACACAGATATATATATATATATATATATATATTTATATATATATATATATGTGTATATAAGGGCCGGTCCTACCTTGAATGCGATGCATGCAAAAAAAGAGGGTGCAGCACGCCTTAGGGGGCACCAAAACGAGATTCGAATATAAAATTTATAATGCAGTTTTTTCAATATCATTCAAGAAATATATCATTTCTTTACATCTTTCACTAATTTTGGATAATATTTTTTAAATTCAACTTTAATACAACAATCTGATACAAGGTGGGAAAGTGTAGTGCTCGATATCAATTAGGAGAAGTTTATGATGCAATTTTAGATATTTTAAAAGATGAAAAATTAATTTAAATTAATCCAACATAAAGTGCCAGTGTTATTTATAATAATGAAAGGAGAGACTACCTTTTCTTTGCTCTTTATGATTTGCTCAATAGCATAAATCGCAAAAAAACCCAAAATAAATAGGTAAAATATTTCTAAACCCAAAGATTAATATAAGAATCAAGTGAAAATTTAATAATATTCTTACAAGCAATAATGAACATACTGAATTTTTTTATTGTCCGAAAAAGTTTGTATTGAAAATACGAATTTAAAAATAGTTCGATAGTGCAACAACGATAAAAGGCACTACAATTTGATTATGAGTACCCGTAAAATAGCCTTGATCTTCTAAATAAATTTAAAATCAATGTATATGCGCTTTTATATTATATTATTCATTTATTGAAAATTATTTAATTTTTTTTTTATTGTAATTGTTTGAACAGGAATCAGAACTCTTATATGTTCTATAAGCTGTTGGTTAAGACTTATGACTACTTATTTCATGAGAGGCAATCCATCGATTTACCATTCTCTTACGTGTGGGTGATTTTTGATATTAGCTCTTCCGTCTAATAGTTAACATGTGATTGGATGTTGCAGCTATGTCCACGAAGGACGATTTCCACTTGGAATTATATTGTGATCTATAACCCCAAGTGGAAATTTGACATCAAAGCTGCCAGATGTCGAGCTACGGCGGTAGCGGGAATCGAACCAGCGAACCTGGGACTAGTTGCTGCTAGCCCGCGCTCTAACCGATATCACCATCGCTGGCCTATTTAAAAAATTAACGTAAATATTTATCAATAGGGGGGGGGGGAGAGTGTTGCTAGAAAAAAATTGGCATGCAGGCGCTGAGTACCCTAGGACCGGCCCTGTATATATATATATATATATATATATATATATATATATATATATATACATATATGATATATAATAATGATATGCAAATACATATGTGTTTATGATCTATGATTTACAAATAACCGTAAAAACACATATCGTTATAAACATATATACATTGATACCACACTATTTTTATATACAAATCTGATCCAATCAAGTGATATTATTTTATCCCCTTACCGTTATCTGTAACAAAATTGTTGATCGTAGGCGCTACCGGTGGTTCTCTGCTGCCGGAATGTGGTGCAGTCCAATGTGGTGTGTTGCTAGCGGTTGCCGGAAGACTTTGATGGCCCGAGGCTGGTAACGTAGCCGGAGTGCCAATGGACTGCACCGAATGCTGGGAGGTGATGTGACGCGTTTTTATCAGCGGCGGATTCTTGTGCGTTGCGGAAAACGCAAAACCTCTCCTCAAACTTCCCCTATATACAAATATAAAATTATTAGTAACTGAACTGTTTATTAAATTTTATGAGCTTTTGTAATATAACAAATATTTTCATAGTTTCTATTGATGAAAATATCACTCATAAAAAAAGTATTTTTAGAAGGTAAAATATTTATTTAGTGAAATCATCTTACGATTCTTCCACTTACAATTAAAAGGAATTGAGATAAAGAAATCTAATAGTTACGTAGAGAAACACACACACACACACACACACACACACACATATATATATATATATATATATATATATATATATTAGCACAGAATAAGGTTGCTCAAGTCGTACCACCCATAAATCACATAATTTACAGATATATATACAACTATTTATATAGAACAACTGAAGTGCTTTCCCACTTTAAGCAACAAAAATAATCAAGAAATAAGTAAACGTAATATAGTTGTTGAGTGTGATATTCACCCTTTCATGGCTGTAAATATGATCCTGATTTTTTTCTTACTAACAATAAGGTTTATTTATATTACTTACTAGCTGTATCCGTTCACGCTTTCTCGTGATTTAGTTTAAATTAAAAAGTTGAACAAAGATGTGTATTTGCCATTTTACCGACTTACCAATTTACCTGTCAACCTATTTACCTATTAACCCGTTTCACATGTCTACCAATTTACCTGTCAACCTGTTTATCTGTCTTGTTATTTGTCTATCTATCAGTTGTCCTGTGTACCATTTTACATATCCTGCAATTTACCTGATCACCAGCTATCCAACAAATTACCTGTTTATCAATACATCATTTTAACTGCCAACCAATTTACCTGCTTTCCAATTTACCTGTCATCCCGTTCTGAATGTCTACCAATTAACCTGTTCAATAATTTACCTGTTGAACAATTAACCTGTTTAACAATTTGTCTACTAATTTACCTATCAAACTGTTTATCAATCTACCATTTTACCAGCCTACAAATTTACCTCACATCCCGTTCTACATGTCTACCAATTAACCTGTCAACCTGTTTATTTATCTACATATTCGTCTATCTACCAGTTTTTCTCCCTACCATTTTACATCTCCTCCAATTTACCAGTCCACCAGTTTACCTTTATAAATTCTCTAATTCACCTCATTTATTTACGCAATATAAACAAATTAAAGCTCAAATTTATTCTACGTTTTAGTAATAAAACGTTTGTATGTGAAAAAAAGGGCTGTTTTTTCACAAAGGAACTTCAACGAACATTTTAAAAAAAGATTTGGCCAAATTGGTCCAGGCGTTATTGACTTATGCGATTAGTAACACATTTTGCGATTCATGTTTATAAGATATATATATATATATATATATATATATATATATATATCTTATATATATATTATATAAGATATGACAATCGTTTAGGTATATTCGAATGGTAAAGTTTGTTAAGGTTATGTAATTAAAAAAATATTAAATTTAAGTAATTCATAATCAGATGTCATCTAAATATTGATTCTATAAATGCCAAAGATTTTTCTAATATAAATGCATTATAGTAAAAATTCCTTAGAGGGTACGACTTGAGCAACCTTTACAATAAATATTCAAAATTTTAACTAAATATTAAATAAATTTATAATATTCAATGTATGCATTCAATAATTAAATTTGAATAGTGCGAATATATAAAATATAAAAATATTGAAATATAAAGTGTTGAAAATTCTATAACATTCAATTGATATAGTATGCTTAATTTCACATATAGAATACTGATATAAATATATAATGTAATAAGCACACATACATTCACACATACGTATATATATATATATATATATATAGATATATATATATATATATTTTATAAATATTTTATAAATATTTTCATTTTAAAAGCAACATTACCGTGTAGGAGATGGTGGTGGATAAGAAGTTCCTCTGTGATGGGGCGATAAAAGATTAGCACTCCCCGATGGTGCTCCGGGCGGAACACGTAAGGTATGTGGCGATACCAACGGTTGTATCGATAATGCACTATTAAAATCGCATTAAATAAATATTTTTAAAAATTACTTTTTGCTTTATAACATGTGTCTATTACAAAATTACCCAGAGTTAATTGTGAGATTAGGAAGACTCTGTCCTAGGCTACTGAATGGTTGTACAGAGAGCGTATTTGGTGTCGGCACCTTATTGCCAGGCCTTTTTACCGTTGGCGATTTAGCTAAGGCGCATGAAGGTTTTGCAGCCTCTTTCGGCGAATGTTCATGGCTGAGCGGTGGGATTCCTTCATCACTCGACAAAGACGTGGTTCGTAGATCTTGTTCTATTGAAACATTTCTACTTGTAGGATTCAGACTGGACATGCTCTCGTTCATTTCCACTGAACCACTGTGAAGAAGAAATATAAATCAAAACATTGCCTAAGTAAAAGAATTATTTTGTAAGTAAACTGATTTATCGATAAATGATATCTCTTTAAAATCAAATCAATTATAAAAATCAAGATATTATTTTTAATAATAATAACTATGAATTCAATTGATTTTTTCTACATCCCATAAAATCTTATATTAAACCGGTATGAATAAGATATTCTGCACTGGTACGACTTAATCTGTAAGGTCTTACAAGTTTGAATTTGAAGCTAATGACATAGTGATTGCTGAGTAATATGAATAAAATAAGTAATAAAAAAAGAAAAATATTATTGCCATAAAAAGCTAACAACTAGCCATAAATACTAATAGAAATTTTATATTAGGATCACTTTTTAATTATAAACGTTAACTTATTCATTTAAATAGTTCTCAATGGTGTAAAAATGATCAAAAGATGATCAAATAATGTTAGTTAACTTTATACCAGCAATAGTAATATCGTAATAATAACTATGAAATATTCCAGTTGCCATAGACTTACTTTATAAATAGAAATTACGGAATAAAAAATATTGTAGTAAATAAAACAAATGAAAAACTGTACTAAAATGTAAGCGACTAATGCATTTTAATGATAGTCTATTAAAATATTAATCTTAATTTAACTTAATTAATTAAATTTAATTAACCTCTTAGTATTTATTACGTATTCTATTCGAATTGATCATTTACAAGTTTATACACAATTTCCAAAACTATTTTTGTCTTCAAATAAATATATTTTGCCTTCATGAAGTTTAATATGATTATTATTATAATTATTTATTATGAAACTTTTTTTGCTATATATATCATGGTCTTATAAAACTTATAGAAAGTTTGAGAAAATGAGTAGATTTTTGACGTTTGTTAACATTAAAATTAGATGATTCACTTGGTATAATGATAGAGTACTTGGTCTTAATGAACATACTAAACCATTGAAGTCCTACAAAAACTGGTTCAATTACAAAAATTGCTGATTTTTGAAAATTTGCTTTTAGAATATGCTCCGAGTTTCGTGATCGTTCGTTTTCAATTATGTGTAATAAATCCATTTGGAATACTTTCAATCACTCATTAATTAATTTATATTTTGTTGATTAAGTCGATTATTTTCACATATCGGGAAGTTTATGTCACTTGTTTATTTATATTTTTTATCAATGAACCTGTGTAGTTCTCAAAAAAAATTGGCTGTATTAGGTGTGTGGCATATGTCTTTCAGTGTAGTTTTTAAGTGTATACTCAATATTAATTTAAGGTTTAAAAGGCCAGAAAACGACAGAAATTATAATGATTTTAATTACCATGCAAAAATATTACGAGATCGGAGATTTTAAAATTTCTTAAATATTGCTCGATTCTTTGCCATTTAATCCCCGACTTTGAGTTTAGATTCGTGCTTAGCGGTAAAAACTACATTAGAAAACATATGCCTCACACACATACAGACAACTTTTTTTGCTTGTATCTTAATATTATTATTATTATTACCGCTGGTATCTTATTTTTATTTTAGTATACATTATTATTTCACGGGTATAAATCAGTAGAAGCTTCGTGCATAAAATTTAGCTTCAAATGAAAATAGCATAGACTTTATTATGGAGACCTTTGTGACAAATATTTACTTCCTGCTCTTTTTATTTCTATAATATAGACAAACTAATAGGGTTTATTGTTTTTATAATACCTCATTGTATATAGCATTCGAACAACACATCCTTATACACTTAGAGTATTAATATTTTTGATTCTCTAGAAATTGTTTAGAATACACCTTACTTAGCAAAACAACGTTTGCCGGGTCAGCTAGTATATTATAAAATTACTTCAGTTATTTATTATGAATAACCTTGACAAGTTTCCGAAGAAATAATATCTATTATTAATCAAGCCTTGCTCATGAATACATAAATAAATATTTTTGATATGTCTTTTCATTTTTTGAGCATATTAATAAACATTCAATTAAACAATCCTAAAGGGTCCGCCATATAACTTTTTTTTATTGGTAGCAATTTAGAATTTTTTGACAGCCATTTAAAAGTTAGACAGCCATTTCAATGAAATTGTTTTCGATTATTAACCAGGATTGCACTTTCAAATAGAAAAGATTTAGATTGAGAAAATATTCAGTAGTTTATATATAGCATTCAAAAAAAAAAGTTATCTGACGGACCCTATATAAGTCTATTACCATTACCTATGACTATGAGCAAGACTAGAAACTCTGCTTCCCCTCGAACTGCCCGCCAGCGGCGACCGCCCGGTCAGCTGTCCTACGCCCCCGGTGCCCGCTTGCGATGTCGGCACTCCGGCGCCCGCTAGACAAGGTCCGGCGTGACTGTCGTAGTCCAAATCGCAGCTCAGCGATAAATCAGTCGCGAATTCATTACTACCTCCCCATTGTTCTGATATGTGAGCGTATTGACCGCCCTGCTGAGGCGCGTGCTGAGATTGCCAGGGGTGCTGCTGCTTGCATTGGGTGTAGAGGTGACTAGCTTTCTTTAGGCAATCGGACCAACTCTGGTAATAGATAATATAATTTATTTTATTACATAGACGGCAAAAGATTATTTTATAGTCCTAGAAGGAATTAATAATACAATTATGGTAGTAGATTTATCAACATTGTCAAAAGGAATAATACTTATTAGAATTTGTTAGCATTACTAGTGTCTTTGAGTCTACATATAAGTGCATGTGCTGATGTATATACGAGTGTATGTATAGGTGCCCGTATGTGTGTTTGTAAAAATAACATAGTTTAACATTATTATGTTACATTACTATATATTTAACTGTATATGGCCGATTGGCGTATAATAAATAAATAAATAAATAAATAAATAAATAAATAAATAAATACTGGAGCGAATTGTATTCAAATGTCTTAAAACCGACAAAAACCAAGTATACTTGATTAAAAACGAAAGAATGTTAAATAATTTAATGCACAGATATTATATTGGTTAATGCAATTGCGTAAAAAGCCCTCGAAACCGAAATGCAAAAATCAGTTGATGTATACAAAAATCAGACAAGTATAAAATCTATGGACAAATTTTAATATAAATTCATGGAAAACCTTTCCAAATACAGAATATAAATACTAAAGATAAGTAAATGATTACACTAAATTAACTAAAGTAAAAAAAACATGCATAAATAAAGAAAACAAATATACCTGTACAGATAATATTTAGTTGTTTTAGTGATGTATTATGAATATCGGTATCATTAATAATAGAGCTAAAGTTAGATGGCATAATGTCATTGGCATTTGCACTATAGAAGTATTTAAAAAAGCATTAGCCTTAGGAATAGGGCTTGAAAATTATTTGAATTTGTAAAGAGCATCAAGTATATATGAAATTAATTTATAAATGAAATATTTAAGCAAAACACTCAGTTGAAAAAATCTGATGAAGACTTTGAAGACAATCACGCAATACATTCTCCTCAAATTTTTAATCATATATAAGTTAAAATTTATATGAGATTAAAACACTTTCATTCAAACGACATATGACAAGAGATGATGTGTTAAATTCATTCAGTATTAAATTCTAGTCTAAATCACTTTCAGAGTAAGTTTTGTGTGTTTGTCAAATATAATTTTTGCAGAAATTTTTGTTAATAATATAATAATAATATGATTTTAAAATTTCAGAATGAAGGAAATATTATTATCTAAAGTTGATCATTATTTGTATTGCTTTTTTATAAAGAAATTAATGTGAAACTTATTATCATGATATATAAATAAGATGTGGTACTCGAGAGCATGAAGAAGATTAATATAATTGTGGAAAGAAAAGATTGCCAATAAGATCAAACTCTTATTGGCAAAATGATGTTTTCTGCCCAAAATTATTAGAGAAAAGTATAATGACTTCTATGTAGAAGAAAAGGAATAAATATTTCGTAAATTCATTCTCTTTCAGCCCGATCTTTAAGTCCTTATATTTTTCTTCAATGAATTTATGCAGATGGTGATTATATATTCCACTTGCTAAGCAAAACTGATTAGTCAAATATAGGATCGCACCAAAAAATTACAAATGTGATTATATCCTTTTCTATATTCACAAAAAAATGACCAAAATATTATATTATAAAATAATCACTGTATATTTCTTACTTTCAGAACTTTGGCTTCAGCACATTGAAGAGTAAAAGCGGCAACAGCCATTCCATATTCATTTAGATATACACATGCGATCGTTGGCGAATCTCTGGTCAATTCCTTCACATGCAGTCGGTCACTTAGGTATGGTTGTCGCACAATTTTCATACTGGCACCAGAACGTTTGGTTGAAGGCTTACAGACTAGGAACATATCAGTCAACAGAAAACAATGAGCGTCAATCTAAAATGAAAAGGAAGGTGAATCAGTTCTACTGTTCACATTGGAAATAAAAAAAATAGACAAAATTTTGAATGACTTGAAATATATTATAACTTCAATATAATGTATATATACATATAAGTATTATTTGTTTAATAATAATAAGGTTTTATGCATAGATGTACAAACCTTTCCTGCGTGATCACGAAATTTCAAATCGCCCTCCATTAATAAATGCCTCTGCCTGCTTGCTGAGCAGCCGGCCATAGGTACACTAAGATCTAGATTACTATATTTTTTGACTAGACGTTCTAAATCTTCATCTTTGCTTTCCTAAAATGAAAATACATTTAATAACCGTCAATATAATTTTGATCAACTGCATATTTCATTATTATTTATGGAAAATATAATCTATTGAACATGATTTTAAAAGACTATGCTATATTAAGGTTGTTGAAAGAGTTGATAATAAATAATTGAAATATGTATTGTAATTTGTGGAAAACTTTAAATTACAAAAATACTAACCACTGCTTCATAAGAATCTATTCTGGCCATAATACCATTGAGTCTTTCATTCTCTTGCCTTTGTCGCAACCGAGCATTCACTTTTGCAACAAACTCATCCACAGCACGCACCTATAAAGATTTATATATTATTATAAATATATTTATATATTTACATATTGTTATATATTAATTTGTATATTACATATTCTTTGGCAAAATTCTATCATAATTACCGTTGCATCTAATCCTTCCCAATCTCGTTGATCTGTTGCATGTTTTCTTGCAGCTTGCAATAAAAGGCTGTATTTGGTAAACCTTTGCATTGGTCGAACCAAAATATCAGCTAGCCTTAACCTGCATAAATTTATATAAATAAAAATTGTTAGTCATGAATATAAAGAATACAAAAAATATGGGATTTAGGTACTTATAAGTCTATCATATCCAAATATTTTTTACAGTTTTCTAATATTATCTTCTGCATCCTTTGTTGTCTGTCAGTATAAAGACATCACTATATTGACCCTGATTTTTTAATATTGCATAAACTTTGTGAAGAAATTATACAAACTATTGGAACATAAATTAGGCAAAAATTTCAGAACATAATAACTCAATATTTTAGATATCAAATCAACCTCAGCAATTTTAACCCCATTTACTTTATCACGATATTTTTAAGAACTGCGTTCGCCCAACAAGGTTTTAATTTTTAGCCAAGTAAGTCATCAAAGCTATCTGTAACATTGTTGATAGTAATAATATAAATATTGTATTACCTATTGCATTCCTTCTGCGTTTCACACCAGGCCAAGTAGACAGTAAACAGCTCATTCTGAGCGTTTACTTCACGACAATAATGTTGACAAATGCTCTGCTCCGCGCAAAAACGTTCATACGGCCTAAAGACCTCGTCAAATCTAAGAAATCCATCCAAGAAGTATTCGCATCGCATTGCTGATCGCGTTTCTCTGGCTTGTTTTAGCATGGGATACAGATATGATGACCAGAAGTCCAAATTGCATGCATATATCTCCTGGACATTCGAGAACAATTTGCCTTTATCGATATCTGTTAAGATACCGGTCTGTTGGAGATTTTCGAGGCAAGCAAGGAAGAGCTGAAATATAAATTGATCATATTAATGAATTTTGTTAGATATTTCATATTGATTTTATTTATATTATATTAAATAACTCAGCGATAAAAAACAATGGCATTTATTAACTTCCCGTAGGGCAAGTTATAGTAATCGCAAAAAAATCGAAAATGAAAATTTTTATATATCTTTACGTTTCAAAACCTTCTGAACATTTTGGCATACCATAGAAAAAATGGATGTATGTGTGTGTGCGTGTGTTTGTGTGTGCGGATACAAATTTTCGTCGACGATTTCGGGAACATCAATCAACCGATTTGAATAATTCAAAAAACATTCGATTCGTATTGATAAGAAGACGTGCTGATTAGCTTTTGGCAAATGCAGGTCTAGCCGTTCCGAAGATACGGAGCATAAAGTGCCAAAAATGGTAACTCAGTTTTTAAGAGAACGGAGCGTCCGATGATAATAATTTAACTAATAAAAACATTTTACTTGTATTGACAGATGAAGAATTGATCAAATTTTCATGAATTTGCCTTAAGGCACGATGTCATGCGCCCCACTAGTTACTATTTTGTTTATGCTTGAATTATTTTATTTTTAGTTCACAAAGAGAATATAAATTTTCTGGTGATATAATTGTATAATTTTAATAATTAGGTAAATTATACAATCAGTTATTTTTTGTTGGGCAAATGTTAAATTCTATAAAAATTTGTGTTCTTTCTAAAAATAAAGCTCAAAATTGTTCCAATTTTTTTTTTAAATATGTAAAAAACGTGGCATTATATTACCTAAATCGTTTTCACCCTAGTTCCTATGAAATAAGATCTTCAATGAACTTACTTGAACATTTGGATAATTATAGAAAAAATCATTTTTTTCTGAGTAAATATTAAATCAAATGAAAAGTAGAGTTCTTTTGAAAAATATATCTCAAAATTGTAAAAAACGTGTTATTACATTACTTAAATTATATATATATATATATATATATATATATATATATATATATCGTTTTATTCCTACTTCCTATGAAATAAAGCCAATTTGATACAAATAATTGAATCAATGGTAATTGTAGTAATAGAAATATCAAATATATGTATTATATATACATATATATATAATATATATATATATATATATATATATATATTTCTACATATATTGTATTATATATATTACAAATGTAGTTTTCCTAATAAAATTTTGATGTAAGTTTTCATGTCCATTATGTGCATTATATTTGTGTACTTCTGATTAAATTGAGTAACTTATCCAATAACTATAAGTGTTTTGCTGCTATTTCTAATCCAATTTAGTGTTGTTTTTATGATTATTAGAACAATGTTTAGATATAGAAGTACTTACATCAGTCACCACCCGTAACGTTTTTATGTAGGCTGCTTCGGTCGTTAGAAGTTCCCACAAAGCGGTCTGGAATTGCTTCTCTGATTCGGACATACCTGTAATAAAATTATTTCTAGGGGTTGAATCTTGATTGGATAATATTAAATTGAAACATAGATAACTTCCTTAACTAAAATTAATCCAAATTAAATTTTATTAATATGTAATTTAAAAAGTCTCATTATATTGCATAGGTTTTCATTTATTTAACCTTATTTAATAATCATACTTTTTAGACAAATGATTAATTAGTAGATTACGATTTAAAGAAACTTAGTGAATAATAAGTACAGTGTTTAATTAGTTCCATTATTCTAAAATGTCGTAACTAAGTTTATTGAAAAAGCCTGAATATTATACAAAATAGTAATAATTTCTTTTTCTACTGACCAGTACTGTCGACAAAATCTTGCCAATGCTCCTCCAGTGTAGACAAAGCTGTTTCAGGTTCACTAGGAATAGATTTAATCGGTTCATTCGGCGAACCCGGTACCCCACTTCGTGCAAAACCATTCAATATCTCTGTCAATTGTTCAATTTTCGTATCCTGAAAAATAGAAAAAAATTACATAAAAATTTGCTCGAAATTGTAAATTGTAGATAGTTCAAACATGGGTATTTAATACCTATATAAAATACATAATAATTATCATTGTAAAAGATACATTCAATATGATGTGATTCATTTTTGAAATATATTAATAAATAAAATATAGTATGTAGTTGTAGCTCTATCTCAAAAATAGTGTGGTTAGTTGTTTGGACTAAACAAAATCAAAAGTTTCCAAATAAATTTTAATGAGTAACTAATATATCAATGTTTGCAATAATTCATATATGTTTATATGTACATATATATATATATATATATATATATATATATGTGTTTTAAAATTAATAAATTATTTATTATTCATACCTTATTATTTGTGAAAAACCCTGACCATCTTTGCCTGCCCTTTCCACGTTCTGCTTCAAGTAAAGATGGATCTTCTGTACTTGCACTGAAGAACTTGCTATGTCTGCCTCGGTAGTTCTATAAAATAAAACATATTTTCATATCATAATTTATATAAATTCAGTTTCATAACTAACAAAAAAATACGTTAGAATGAAGGAAAAAAAATTCACAAACGAATGATGATTTACGAAATTCCATAATGTAATTATTTCGAAGATATAATTACATGAAATTCATTTGTAGAAAGAAAAAATATTGTCATTAGGCGCGAATATTAAAGGTACATCACGAACCAAATATTTGTTATTAAGCCTTCAAAAATGATAATTATTATAAATTATTAATAATATTTAGTTAGTTTAGTAATTAGTAGATATACACCTGAACTATCATAAGCAAATCAAAGTCCTAAAAATATATGTTCATCTATTATTCACAACTAGTGCAGTAATGAATATACTAGACTTTATTAAAATCATTGAAGACTTGATTCCAAAGCAAATCGACTTTTAATTGCATTGCAAAGGTTAAAAAACTCAGCCGAATTGAATTAATGTCACCTTCACTTTTGGTCTGCGTGTCGCATGATATGTGGCATTTCTTTTGGAACTTTTCCAGATGATACCATCTTATTCTAAGAAATATATTCAATAAAACGCATGGAATTTCGTTTTATCCATCTACGTCTTATATTTCAAACAGATGTCTATAGATTTATAGATACAATTTACATTTTATAACATGCTGAAGGATATTTCATGATGCGCGAAATATGATAAAGTAGAGACGATTTTAGTATCACAAAGATGACTTTAGAATAATCAAATACAAATATTTTGTTTGAATTCTACTCGCAACTCGCATATTCAGAGCCTCGCATGAACAAGTATAGGTAATATTTAATAAAGTACAATCACATTTGCTTTATAAATGTTTAATGTACTTTCTGATCCGAGTATTTTGTTGATATATCTTCTGTCATTAAATGATGCTGATAATTGGGTGAAATATAAAAAATATATATTATTATTATTAACATAAGTTGCATGTAAAATACGAACCAAATGACATAAGATTATGTTTTTAATAATATTTATTAATTTAATGATATAATCAGTCTCAATCGTTTTTACTTATCTTAGATTCATTAGACTACAGCAGTCTTTCATTAAGTAAAAATGAAACGTATTACAAAAGTCCATATAGTATAGACAGAATGCCAGGCAAGATAAGGACATTCTGAGACACTAATTTTTAAGAAGCCAGTTCACAAATAAATTGTTTCTTCTTGGGTTCTTTTTGGGTCTTCAGCACATAATGCATGAGCCTAAAGGGAACAAATAATACATCGAAATCAATTTTCAGGAAAAGAGATCTTTACAATGATCACAAGTCTTTTCTTTTTACCGGTGAATCCTTTGGCCTTAAAAGTAGTTAGAACAAAAGGTAAAAGCCATTCATCTTTGACAGGTTTCAGTTTTCAAATTTTCTTGGCTCGAATGAACTACTCTCGAGTTCTTGCAAAATAGTGCTATATCATTTTGACCATTATATAAGTAAGTAAAATGAACAAAAATCAATAAATAATCAAAATTACATCAAACACTTGATAATTGCAATAAAATTGATCGAAAGCACTAGTATTCCTTCAATTCCTTTAATTATTTTAATAAAGAGTATTGTAAAGAACAATAAATAAGTCTCCAACAAAATATGAGCAAACTATAGCGTCAAAATAAACTTTTGAAGGCGCGCTACTCGTTCAAACCGATTTGCGAAGAGACAATGACGCTCAACATCTGACAAGATTATTATTATGGCTTTCTTCACGTTATGCAGTCGCGGAAACATTCCTAAATCTAGCCAATTTTTAAATAAGACCTTTGTGCAATATTTTCCATATATACCATATCGCCAGTATTTCCCTAATTTTGTAAAGGCGAAAAACTGAGCGTATCAAAATGTTTAATATTAATTATAATTCTATCACAACGAATTAATATAAATATGGTTTCCTAACCGATTATTAAAACCAAAAGGTTACTCGGCAAGCGTTTTATCGCGTGGGTTTCAACATCCGTTATTTTATATAATCGGAATGCCCTTTGCTCACAAAACATTCCCCAGAGCCATTATAATGACACTGATAATACAAAATGTGAAAAGTTTCAAAAAGCAGAAAAAATAAAAGAGAACAGACAATACGCCATTCAGACGTACAGAAAATTATCAAATATATAAAAACGTCACTTATAAAAATAATTTTCATGGGTTATTATATTACGCACATCTATGTTAATACGGTAATATTTTATTACATTTATTAATTAATCTGCTGAATGCAAGGATAAAAATAGACGCTTAAAATAACACTCAAGAAGCTTATCCTTAACACAGTTTTCATTAGTTTGTTAAATTGCAATATGAGCATAACTTTTCCATCTGCATTATTTATTTCTATAAAAGTGCTGACTTGTACAAATCGATATCGAAAATTTAGTTCAACTAAGAGCCATATTGTAATTCTATAATATATGATATTTTATTCATATGAGTCCACATCAAAAATGGCAAACTCAGAATAGTATCGCATGAAATTGTAATAGCCTGAACTTTGTTCGGAGCTGTCAGTTATAACAAGTTTTACAAGAAAATCAAAACTAAGTTTCACTCTGATAAGAAAGGTGTTATGGTTTATGCAGTATTAAATCTCATATATACATATAAATAAATATACTTACTAACACACCTATAAACACATAATATATATATACATACATACATATATATACATATATATATATAATGTAATTTTTTAATGCCAAAAATTTTCTAATTTTGCCTATTATATTTTGTGTTCACCTCAACTTCAATTATTTATATGAAAAAAGTATTTCAGCCTTTGTATTTTTTCATATAATATATGAAGATATATTTTTATATAATATATGAATATCTATATATCTTCATATAATAGGTAGGTATATAAAAATATATTAATATATGAATATTAAATGCCTAAAGATGTGTGTAAAATGTAATATCTCTTTTTTATATTAAGGATTTTTTCCAAATATTTTCAAAATATTTTGAACAAAAGAGAATACTCGCGAAGATAAAAATTCGATAGAAAACCTGTAGTTCATAAGTCGAAATTAATTGCAGGTACAACAGAAAAAGCACCGACAACAAATTGAATTCTAAAAGTTTCACAAATTAGCACATTAATGTAACATTGAATATTCTGATTGATGAAGTGGTACATAAATAAATTCAAGTCACTATTAATGTGATTAACAATAGAAATAAACTTTCAGAAAATGTGAAAAAGCGCTAAATAATATAAGTAAATGCATAAGTCAGCAGAATGAGTTGGCCGTGATCGTGTTAATTTTTTACTTGAAATTTTTTGTTATAAAACTGTCAAGAACTATTTTACAACCTGACCTTTCATTTGTTCATATCCACAATAATTAAAAAATGGTCACAATATCACCAAAGCTCTAGATTTCACATAAATGCTCAAAATTTCCAAACAACGTAAGATATTTTTTTCCAATTTTTTTAAGACAGTTACGATCTCTGTTTTCGCTTGACGTTGAGTTCTAGGACACCACGTATATATATATATATATATATATATATATATATATATATATATATGTATATATAAATATATCTAAAACTGTCATTTATAAATGCTATAAAGTGGCAGATAGACGCCAGTGTACCATTTTACTGTTGCAAGAGTTTTCATTGTGTATATGTAGAGCTGTATTGTGCAAAAGATAAGAGATTATTTTACAACCGCGTAATTTTAATTAAACAAAAAGCGGGTCTGTCTTTAAGGGCAATTTCGAGATATCGCGTTAGGTTATCGCATAATGACCGTGTTTAATTATAGCCTTCGCAGCTTTAATTATGAAAGAAATAAATTTAAGAAAAATATGGTTAAAATTATATCACTGTATGAATTATGTAATTCCTTTTGAAATCTTTTAAACTAAAATCGGATTATTTACGAATTTATTAATACACTTATATTTTATTGAAATATTTATCTTTACAACGTAAATACATTTTGTATTATTTCCTAATGAAAAAACTCGTTAAAAACCTCGTTTTCATTTTCAAGTTTTACACAAATTTCTATTTTTATTTCTATTTCTATGATAAATAGAAATATTCAAATTTCTTCAAATTTCCAAAATTCTATCCGTTTCATTGCAGATAAAAATATACGCGTGATTATATGTATATAATACAATAATCAAAATTCTATATATAGGTACAACTATATTATACATTATTAGATTTTTCTGGATTGATATTATTATTTATTATTTTATTCTTCAAAACTGAAAGCTACTCTGATATACTGTTTTCTCAAATAATTATTTATTTAATTGTTTGTTTAGAAATATTCTCTACGTTTCGTGTATATGAGAATCATTTTTTTAAATATATTCACACTTTTTTGATAATTTTTAAATTGAAAGACTATACGCTTATATTTGTACATATACAAATATGAATATATGTACATATAATCATCAATAATCTAATCCATTATTAAATTTGGTCGATTGGCGTTTATATAAATAAATAAATAAAATGCAATAAAATTGAACGTTGCTAAAGGTATTACATTGACTTTTAATTAGATTTTTTGCATTTATTAAATAATAGGCAATTCAAATTTATATATATATATATACACAAAATCGTGAATAATCTATTCTATGATTTAATTCAGTTGATATATATAAATGGATAAATAAAATCAAATAAAACTGAACGCTGGAAAAAGTATTACGCATTGATTTTTAATTAGCGTTTTGTATTCACTAAATATTAGGCAATTTGTTGCTGACCGACTATGTATTTTATGATTTTTTAAATATTTTTTTCTTGAATTTTCAACAAAACCAATATTTGTTTGAATTAAAACGAAAGAAAACATTACAATAATACAATATTTGTATTAATTAATTTAAATTTATATATAAGATCAATCGCAATTAATTCTAAAAGAAACCTTTGCAATAGTCTAATTATTTTTTTCCAATTTAAAAGTGAAAAGCGTAGAATCATCTTACTCATTACTTTCGCAAATTACTTTAAAGAAATGCATGATCATCTTTATTATTACTTTTTTAAAATACTTGGGTGGAAACCTAAATATCGAGTAACCCAAATCAAGAATAAGACGCTACTGGCAAAATAAGAACTACTTCTGAATGTTAATGAAATATAGACTTACCGCAGAGAAGGTCTTGTGTAAAGGCACATGATTCTGGTTCGGTGATTTCTTGAAGACTTCCTTTGCTGTAAAATGATATAATAGACATCTATTAGTAAATTATGTTTGTTTTATAATAACAAGTCACATTTCTGGATCAAGAACTTTGAACAAATTATATATGAATTAATTAAAAGTGATTTCAATGGTCATTGGATGTATTCTATATGAAAATGTTGAAATAGTAATGTTAGCAAAGTTTATATGAAAAAGAAGTAATAGTTTGTTTCTTATTAAAACATTTATAAATAATTTTTTAAAATAATATTATAAAAAATGTATAATTTTTGAAGCTTAGCTCACTGATGTAACTTTGTTAGTTATTACAAAATGACTTAAATACATAAAATTACTTTCAATAATGTATTGATTTTATATGAATTGAAATATGTTATGTACGTAAACTTTATTGATTACTTGTACGTATATTATTCAGAGTTTGTAGTTTTAATTAATTGTTATTCATTTACATTAAATATGAAAATATTCTAAAAACTGAAAACTAAATAAAAGCATTAACTAGTATAAAAATATCACTAACAGAATAATCAGTTTATTTTTATTAAAAAAAATGTTTTTTGTTATATGACTATCGAAAAAAGGGTAAAAGTACAAGATCGCTCCACCGTAATCTGTGACTCAAAGATTTTCATTCAAATTACAAACAATTTTATTGTTTTCTATTCTAGAACCGAGTTGATATACATATATAATGGATTCATAGAATAAATGTTCAATTTTAACCGTTTAAAAATTAAATACTTTTTAATTATATTCTAGAAACTTATATAAAAGTGTAATAAAGAAAGTCTACGCAAAGAAATGTCTACCAGCATAGATAAATACGCAAGAGAACAGGCAATTCTTTATTCGTTTCTTATTATTTTAAATAACCCTAAATATAATTAAAAACTTCTGAGTCTGTCGGAAACTCAATAAGAGTAAATCATGCTGTAGAATACTATAAATCTCTAAGGATTAAGAAGCCAAGGCAAAGTATTAAAATCTGTGACAGAGGTAAAGAATAATTTTTTATTTTGTATTAGGTTCAATGGAAAAAAATAAAAAAGGTGGAATTTAATTTTTAACACAAGAGTTGCATTTATATGAGTTTCGAGCTTAATAATTGTTTTAGTATTATTTTATCTCAAAATATTTTATTAATAGAAGAAATTTTGTTGAAAGTTTATCTATTAAAAACTTTAGTTACATATCTCTAAAATTGTTATATATTGAGAAATATAGTCTACCAAATAACATTGTTTACCAAATAGTTAATATCAGTTGTGAAGCATACCAAATTCAATTCAATAGAGAATATATTATATCTTCATATATCAACAATGGTGTTCCCTGTAATTATGATATATAGGTCACAAATTTCCTAATGTATCTAATTTGCTGAAACTATCACGTCACACGTAAAACTTAGAACGTAGAATCATAATAAAAACAGTAGTTCGGCAGAGGCAATTTTAGTTTGATGTCTTGCATGATTTATGTGGTCATTAAAGTAAAAACTTGTTTACCAGCGGATGCTATTACACTTTAAGTACGGATAATGAAGAACATTCGGACCTAAAAGGATTCATTTTATCAACCTTGGCCGCAAATACGTGTAATAGCCCGGTCTTATGATCGTTATCTGGTCACATTGTAATGGGAGGGCTAGATACCTTCTTAGGGGATAAGGGATAATCTATCCCCAAGGTTCGAATTATTTGAATATTCCGAGTAAAATAAACGACATTGTGCATTATAGTAACAGTTTGATCAGAGATTCCCAAAGTGATCAACATTAACTTCAAAAGATTTACAACATTAAAAAAAAAAGTGCCTCACAAAATGGAAATTTACGATATGTTGGTAATCTGATATTAGAACATCGGATTCATTCTTCTTATTCAAAATAATAAATCATTGATAAATATATACTAATCTTCAGTACAGTTAAAAATATGCAAAATATAAATATTAGGTAAGAGAGTATCTATACCAAAGCAAAAATTATTGCAAGAGGCATACGACACCAAAAAGTTTGTTGGCTATTAGATAATATTTATCGCTTAAATTTGACACATTTGAGTCTTGTAAATTTTCATTAATGTAAACAATAAAACTGAACAAACTTAATATAAATGCTATACAAATAAACGCATACTAATAAATATCAAATTAAATATAAATACACTATTTAAATAAATACTAACATCCATTAAATCAAATACTGAAAAAAAGATTAAATAAAATTCTGTAAATATTTCTAACTAACAATTAATATTATAAGAATAATTAGGTAAATAATATATGAAAGTAATATTCAAGACAAGATGAAAGAAAAATTCGTTGAGTTTCAGACTAAAGTTTGTTTAAGCACTTCTACGTATTATTTCACATCGTTTTGTGAAGTGAAGATAAATATATCAAATTATTATTATAGAACAATTAGATCAATTTTCAATAATAATGTGATAAAATGTATTAAAATACAAAATTCGTAATGCAAAACCTAACGATTAATGAATTTTCTAAATTCAGAACTATATTGTTTTTTTTCAAATATTTTCCAAAAATCTCAGACTATTTACTAGCCCTAAGTCTAACATAGTATTTTCGTCTTCGCTTTCCGTGCCCAATATAACCCGCAGACGTCTGAGAGTACTACGAAGAACCTTTTCACAAATGCTCAGGGAAAGTTACGTGGGCGTCAGCCGAGTTGATCTGATGAAACGATATTAGTTTTATTTAGGACGTGAGGAATCAAGTTATTTAAAAAGGAAAAGAATTTCTTGTATAATAATAACATCACCTCTTACAAATAACCCAAGTAATATATTACATTGTGAAATAATGTGTGGATAATTTTGAAAAATGTTGGAAAAAAAAATATGCGCTTATAAGCGGTACAATTTCAATTTCACTAATAAGTTTTTAATTTTTATTATGGTTATGTTTTCATGTTTGTTATGATTTTCTTATCATAATAGTTAATGAATAATATGAAAAAGCGTATGATATGATTTTGTTTATTAATATTACACCAGACTTAAATTCACTCAGGAAATTAAAAAAAACATGATAGAAATATTTATTATCACCTACCAAATTTAACGAATGTGAAGCATTTATTATAATTAATTCATAAATGTAATTATATTTCTATAATTAATAAATTCAATATTGATAAAATTATTAAACATGTTGATAATGACATTGGTCATATTTCATTTTAAAAAATTATTTACTACGAGTTTTAATTTTTTTTAATATTATTTTTTGGCAAATGTGATTTTCACACAAATTTCGTAATGGTTTTTGTTTATGTACATGCGTACATTTATTACGTTAGTCTATAATCAAATAATAAATATTTAAATAAGCCAATACATTATTTAATTCTTACGTAAATACTTGACGTAATTTTAAAAATAAACTTCAATGTTATAATGCACGATAAAGTAAAATGATCATAAATCACAATTAATGAACATTTTTCTAATATTTTGATTGATTAAGAATAAATGTGCCAAGTTCGCTAGTACTTCGTTTTCGAATAATGCACGAACTCTCCCCCAAGCAATGAAACTTTTTAATAAAAAACTTGTTAAGCACGCCAAATAAAACGTGGCTAAAAATAAACACGCACGAATATTTTGAAACGCAAAGCGAAAAGGCCAAAGAATCATCCTATGAACATGATTATGGGCGGACGCGCCTCTGTTCTTTGCCTTGCGAAAATTTTAATATTATTTTCCGGCTTTTTATAGTAAACTAAACAGAACAAAAATTCTATGACGCGGAAGTAACTAGAAGCTATATGTATTTAAAGTTATATTAAGGAAATCATACAATCGAGATATGAAAATATACAGTAACATTGCAGTATTTGTTTACCAAATAGAGTAGAGCAAGAGCAGAGCTTAAAGCTCTGCGGGTAAAACGACCCACCACCAATATCTCAAAAAACAATTGAAGTATAGAATTTTTTGATAGTACTATTTTGAAGTAGAAGGCAAATGATGTATAACCAGCCATTATCTTAATTCATAAAAACTATCAGGAGATAAATGGCTATGTACCAATATTCGCAACAAAAATATTTTGTTTCGTTTTGAGCTCTTTTATTTAATTTGTGATATCTGACTATAATTTTTGAAACATATTATTCAAGTGTTTTATAGAAAGTATTCTTATTTCAAAGTTAGATTCAAAGTTTTATAATATAATCTCTATAAGAGCTTACATGTGGAAGGGGTAAAAAGGCCCGACTAAACATTGCACTGACAAAAGTGTAAGCAGTAAAGAATAGTAAATAAAAAAGTAAATTCAGTTGAAAAAACAATTTTACAAAAAATAAATTGAATTGATAGTTATTCCAACTCTGCTTCACAAAGGATCAAATTAAAGTGATATGCGGTGTAATTTTTTGTGAAAAATGTCCTTATCAACTTTTATTTCGAGGTGGTTAAATAATTTAGCTATTATTTTGTAAAATTCCTTAAACTATGAGAACAGAACATTGTATCTGTTTGTCTATGGTTTACCCTATAGGTTAGATGAAAAGGAATAGATGTCTAATTGTAGCAAAATAGCTAAAAAATATTTTTTTATAATTAGGAATTAATTGCGATTTCAACTGAACCTAGATCAATTGTTGTTTGTTTGATACGTATTGTGGGTTATGATATAGTTCATTTGTATCCCATGTCTATCTACCCTAAAATTAAAATTTTATGTAATAATTCAAATAAATATAAAGAAATTTTCGTGCATCAAGCCTATTGTCGTTAGTGTGCTGCTTTGTATTGACTTTTATTCGCACTTTGTAATATAGTATTATGTCTATTTTTTGTAATATTACCTATTCGATAAGTAAATTAAAATATTAATTAAAAAAATATCATATCATAAATATAATCAGTATCACAGCGGTTAAAATTGTTGAAAAAAAATTTCTTATGAATACAGAAGAAAAATAATAATAATTTTTAAATTTCTGGTATTCATATCTAGATCTTAAAACATATGTGGAATATAATACTGTCAAAACAAATTTCACACAAACCATCTACGATATTTCCAATTCATATTTGGCAATTTCGCATAACATCAAATCAATAAACCGCATCGTAGTACCACCACCACAAAATACTATACTAGCATACTATGCATAGTTGAGTAAACGATGTTTCTAGTCGATTTTCTGAACTAATACTGTACAAAGAGAAATGCAAATTGGTTCTACTTACGAACTATCCTAAGATGTTTTCCTGCCAGCCAATCAGTATCAGTGTTGAATGGAAGCGAATAAGACGCTGCTGATACGGGACCTTCTAACACCACACATTGGTTCAGGTCGATACTGTACCTCTCGCAGGCCAAGGATAATGAATCACTGAAAAATTGGGATAAAATAGTGTCTTTATTATTTTATAGTTGTTTAATAAATGATATTGCTTCAATATAGCAAAAGCAAAGTTAAACAATAACCATTTACAGGTAACAACAAAACTTTACAAAAAATAAACAAAAATCTAAGAAAGGTTTGAAATAAATTTACAGCTGATACTATCAAAGTTTTAGATGATTAGATTACATTATTTCATTTAAAACCTTTCAAAGTTTTTTTAACTGATATAAATGAGCCATTAAAAATATAATTTTACAAGGTATTATGATAATAAAGAGAGTGAAATATCTAATAATAAGGATAGATAAAATAATGATATGATATAAATGAGATATAATAAAGTGGATATTATTATAAAAAAATTGAAATCTCTCTAGTAAATGATTTTCTAATTAAGGTTAAGGTGGGTCATGAAGCTACATTTTTTGTGTCTTCTCATATTGATGCATTTGAAATTGGCCTTATTATTAGTTTATTCGTTTAGATAATAATTCTAATTTTTTTATATATAAGTAGATACTACTACTATCTTTACTCTACTTCCTCTACTTAAATTATTATCAAGTCGTTATAGATTATAAAATTGGAGACTGCGATGGTGTGCTGTCATATTTCTTGAAATTTTTGATTGACATACCATCTTTACGATATATCCATAGTTAGATATTAAAATTTTTGAAAAATACTTCATATTGGAAAGAAATTAACAATTAATGTTATTAAAATCAATTTTCATATAATCTGTGAATAATGAAGAATAAAAATTTTCTCATAACATTGATTATTACTACTACGAAACATTGACTTCATTTCAAAAATTTTTCATTATTTTTTGGTTTTGAAAATGTTTTTAAATTTTATATTTCAAATTTTTAACATACTGCCCTTACCACAACATTCATAATTATAAGAAAAAAATAAAAAAAGTTTAATTGTGCAGTAGAGTAAAACAAGAACCTAAAATTTTGCCTTAAATGCAAATTGCTACTTTAGAACAAATTTTAAATTTAATTATGTGCAATTTATGCTTTATATCATACAAGAGCCTAGAAGCTCGTTTCTTAATTTTAAAAATTTAATTTATGATAATTTTTATGATTCAAATTTAATCAAATTATAATTATAATGAAATTCGAAATTTTTTGAGTAGTATCACTTTTCTTGGCGACTTTTCTTGAATGTAACTGGTTCAGAAATAGAATTTTTGATATCCATTTTAGAGTGGCTATTCAGAGAAAACACACACACACGTATATATGTATATATAGGTATATAACATTTAAGCCTTTAGATAAAATTTTTATTCCCCACACAATGTATGAAGAAGATAGCCATTCTATCCCAAGCAAATAAATATATCTAGTGAATACAACTGCTGACGTAGATAATAATAAATACTACGTGAAAAATGGCAAAATCAGCGCAAGTCACGTTTTATATTGAAAACTTTAAGAGTTGAATAGCTCACAAAAACAGTGGAAAGTTCAGTCGTTTATTATATGACATACTCACCACTCTGCACACATGATAACGAAAGTGTAAAAATAACTTTTACTACAATTTGTTTAAATTATAATTTGACTTGTCATATAATAAAATACACTATTAATTCATTTGTAGCATTAAGGAAGAATCAGGTCACAACCTTAAGATAACATTACCCATTCAAGAGTCGAATATGTTCCTAAGCTTCTTATAACCCTAAATCGCAGATTTGGATCAATTTTGAAAAATCCCAGATATAAAAGTTAACCCAAAATGTATCACCATAAAATAACATCACTATAAAATCCCTTTACCTTTCCGAACTCTCATTCAGCACTTCCTAAGTTGTTTTACGACTTTGGTTTTACTTAGCGTTATGGCATTCGAATGACGTAGGTAAAGGATGGAAAATTTTAGTTTAAAATTCATTTACATTGTATCACTATTATATGTTATTTTAATAAAAATAACAATATTGGATAATCAATTGCAAAAATTGAAGTTTGAACCAAATCACTATTTTTTAAACAATAAAAAATCAAGCAGAAGCAAAGTTGAACAACATGAGTTTACAAGTGACAACAAAAATTGACAAAAAATGAAGAAAAGTCAAGAAGTATTTGAAATAAATTTACTATCAAAGTTTTAGACTATAGATTACATTACTTCATTTAAAAGGAAATTAATTAAATATTTAATAAAATCATTTACCTCAAGTTAAAATATCAATGAAACAAACTGATTTACAACAAAAATGTGTTACAATTTGTATCTTACTTACAACTATCTACGAAAGTTTATTGTTGACGTTTTGCCATATATATATATCGATTCTGCAAGGTAGTTTCTAATAAATAGGATTCTATTAAATTGTATGATATATGTATCTTTCTAAAAATAAACAGAAACCATTTTTTCCTGAATTTGGGAATGTATCTTAAAATATAATTTTCAATACGATTTCTAAAGAGCTTTTAGGGGCTCACCGTTTATGTCCAGTTCAATAATTATAATATGTTACTCTTTAATGTACTTGCTACGATAACGAATATCAATTTTATCAGTAAACTATTATAGTATGATTTATTACTTATTATGCAAACAAATTCCATCATACTAAGCTAATTTGACTGAAAGCTTCTGTAAGTAAATAAACCATTAGTAATGTACATATGTTCAGATTTGTTGCGGAAAATTTCGATAGACTGTATATATTTCATCTACAATTCAGTCAAAATTATTCACAGAGTTCAATTAATTTCATCACTGGAACGTTTAGATTGATGTAATATATGACTTTCCATTATATATGTAAAATTTATGATGAATAATTGATTAAAATGGTCCTTGTATGCAGAGCATAAATTGCCAGAGCGTAGAACTAATATCCATACTTGCAGACATCGATGTGTAATTAAGAATAAATATATGCATGGAAATGATACATGAGGTGCCGACAGTAATATAGATAGATATTAATAAATATCTATATATAGAAATAAGCAAATTTGCCAGAATACATAAATAAAATTTTATCTAATCAACGTCAATGAGAATATAAGCTGTGATGAAATTAAACTCTATTTATGCGTAATTAGCAAATAATTTATATAAAAAATAAAGATATACTTTCAATATTATTCATTTTTTAGCTGTACTGAGTAAATGAAAGTCGGAGTATAAATCTTCATTATCCAATACATTTACCATTTTTCTTGCGATTAAAACTTTCCTACACTTCATTAGCAAGTTAGAAGATTAATTATTTTATAGAAAATTGTTCTTGATTTGAAATGGAGAAAATGGTTTATTACTGAGCTTGTTAGAATTTAATAAAAAAGTAAGGAATCTAATAAAAAAGTAAGGAAGCACCACATTTATTACGGAATGTATTGCATCGAAAATTATTAATACATCAGATTAAGACTGATTGTCATCGGTTTAAAAATTTTCCAATTTTTTTTTAAAATTGCTGAAAAAAACTAAGCCTTACTAATATGCAATCAACATTGAAGTGCAACTAATCTTTTAATATCTTTCATTTTTATAGTTTAAAAGACCAGACTGATTGACAGACTGATTCATCGATTTGTAAATTTTCTAAGAATCTCAAAAATTTTCTTTGTTTACAAATTTCTATTCAAAATTCAATAATTAAGGTAAGGTAACATCAGGCTGATTAAAATGTAATTTTTTGTAATTCTAATTAAGATGTGATGGGACAAAATATAATGGCATTTCATGTAACTAATTCTAAACGAATTTACTGCTTTAAACTACAAAATACTAAGGCAATAATGATGTCTAATATAAGGTAGTATTGTAAAACTATTTTATAAAATTTTCTTCATTCAGTAGTCATTGAAAAAAAAAACACGAGTGTGATCTATGATCAAAATCATTATCCTAGTCCTAATTTCTGAGAACTTGATATTCAGAACATCAAGAAGCACAAAAATATCATGTTGACTCTAAATATGTTCAAGTTAGAATATCATGAGAAATGATAAATTTAATTTAAATTTTTTGGAGTCAAATAGTAATATTAGGTTGTCAAATATCTCTTTTCCGCCTTTTTGTATGTAACCAAGAGCAAATATTTGACAACCTAATATTTAAGACTCATTTGGTAATGATAGTGATTAATGATTTATAAAATCTATTAGAAAAATAAATAAAATACGTTTTTAAATTAAGGCAAAACCATTAAATATACTGATAGCAGTAATATAATGAATGTCAAACACACTGCACAGCATAAAAAGTTACTTTTACATTCAGTCAGCCGTGTTTAAAGAATTCTGATACATGCGCGTTTAGTAAAAAATCTCTTTGAGCGATATATCCTTTGATAAAACGGTATGCGCGCCCTTCATTTGATCGAAGGACACTTCTGTTTCGGGCAATTCGAGAGCGATAATGGCCAGAAAGAGGACCCAATATAATTGATACAATAAGATACCGAAATACTCACAATAACGTGACTCCTTTGACGGCCGGCACGAACTCTTCGCGGGATTGATTCAGGCCGACGGTGGATCCAAAGTCGCCCACTTCGAACGACACTGTGAAGTACTCGGAGCTGGATACCTGAGGGAGTAATTGAAATCGAATTGAGTGTGTTAATCAGTGTAAAATGCGATCATAAGATTTTACAGGGGCGAAGAACCAAATATAAAAATTAAATATTAAAATAAATTTTGAATATTTAGGCATTTTGGTCTGCATATCAATGGCCAGAAACTTTTATTAACACCAGTATAACAGTCATTTCATAACTGTCAATCTTAGTTATGATATTCTCCAACTAATTATTAATTCTATTTAATATTTATATTATTACCATTTTTAATCCATCTTTATTTGTATCGATTATTAAAGTTGTGAATTAATTTTGAGTATTCTGTAATTTAAAGTAAGTTAAAGTGTTTCAAAATTGTAAACAATTACCTATAACTCCAGTCTTCTATATTTATCTTAAAACCAACGCCATTTAACATTTGTTACAAGATAAATATTTACAAAAGTTAATAGTTACAAAACTCAGTTTGATACTCTTCGATACTTAAACAAGTATCGCATAAAAAATAAATTAAGCCCTAAAAATATATGATATGTAATTTGATTAACTGACCATTTGATCTGTACAATCATATTTTTGTGTTAATATTTTTTTGTATTATTACTATTCGTTGTTTTTTTCATCGAGCATTATTCTAGTACATAATCATTACGATTTTTACAGGTATAAATCAAAAAAAAATTTTAATAATATGTTTTAATATTCAAAAGATGTAAATGTATTGTATAGGGTCCGCCAAATAACTTTTTCTTTTGAAAATTCTATAAAAAAACTACTGATTTTTTAAAATTTGAAATAATAGTTTTGGTTTGTAAGAGAAATGCAAATGGCAGCCTAACTTTTAAATGGTTGCTAAAGAATCAAAATGGATGCCAAAAAATGAAAATGGATGCTAAAGATTCAAAATGGCTGCAAAAGTTAGATGGCGAACCCTTTATAACACGAATTGGTTATCGTATAAAATATGATTTTGTCATACTATAAATTTATTAAAATATTTTCAAATTTAATTTACCATTTTAATCTATGTTTAATGTTTTTATTGTATTGTTCAATTATGTTATGAAATTAGTTTTAATTATATCGAAATTGTTGATTATTACTACACCCAGTACTAGTGTACCTAGATAAATTTGAAAAACCCAGATTATTAAATATATTTATTACTACGATTATGTTATAACCATTTGAATATGTTTCATATATCGAAATACTTGTGAATATTAATTGTGTGCTACCCCTGAGATAAGACATTTAATTACGTATTTCATGGATCTTAGGTAAGTATTTGCCGAATGTGCAGAGAGAAAGCTCCTTGAAAGCCTATTCGTTATTTTATTTCAAAGTAATTGAGTTTTGGAATGTAATCGAATGGAATAACATAAATTGTTATAAATACAGAATATTATGTAAGAAAATCCTATCTTTATGGTAGATAGTCATACCTCTACGTGTATAGTTGTCACAACTTCACATAATAATTATATTTGAGAGAAAACTAAAAAAACAATAGCTTTTAGTATTCTTTGTATCAGCTAAATGGCTTTCAAATGTGTAAAAATGATGCTCATAATATATTTAAATTCTTATAATAATTTGTAATTGTATTAAACCTTATTTCATCAAATCAAATGGGGAATTTCTTGATCAAACTTAATTTGACACATTTTTTATAAAAATGTGTTTTGGAATGTAATCTGAAATAACATCAAATGGAAAAATTATTGAAATTTAAGGAATACTTCTATAGTGCCTATATTACTTCTACTATGCCTTCATGCGTGCTCGTAATAATTACAACTAAACAATTATATATTCAAAATCTTATAGCAATTTGTAATTGAATCAAACCTTATTCTATTAAATTCACATGGGAATCTATACTTTTCATGATCAAACTTAATTTTACATTTTTATAAAAAATTTACTAATACCAGTGTATGTAACAATATTAAAACATATTATCTAAAACCCGTATCAAAATGTTTTGAATCAACTTCTAGATTTTGCCAATAGGTAATATGTGAATTTAGTAAATTTTAGCGCAACTTCAAAACGCTCAAATACAAGTTTTTAAATTTGTAGATGCATCTTAAACCAATAATTGAAAACGTGCAATTCCAACTAAACCGCAGTTTCTTAACAGTTTAATATCTATCTCTAAGATCGCATTCTTTGTACCAGTCAATAAAACCAATTTCATTCTACTATCTCTGACCTGGCTTCTGGCGAGTTTCTGCCTGCGCTGGCTGGGTGGCTGGTAGTAATTACCAGCGGGAGATGCTGGCAGTCCGCCGCTTCGATCAGGGGACGTTCGGCTGTGACAGCCGCTACTATCCGGCACGTACAACAGTCGCTGCTCGTTCAGACCCGCTGCGCAATCCGGCTCCGAACGGCTATCTTTCAATGCCGTGTCGCCGTTTAACTGAATGGGAAAAAAAGAAATGCATTTTATAAATTTACCATTGCAGAGATATATAGACACGTAAGATAGAAGGTAGAGCGGGGCTAAAAGGTCCGCGGGTAAAAAGATATATAACCAGCTATCACTTTGATTCTTACGAAGGCGCTATCGGTAGATTCCTTCAGAATTTAAATTAAGATAGGGGAATTTTTTCCCCTCTATTTGTGTGTATTTTTATATGATCAAATTAAAATTCAATACTCATGTATTGTAGATTATTTAATGACTAGATCACGTAATATTTGTGTACAAATTGTGAAAAAGCCATAAAACTGGTAGTTTCAGGAGTATCAAACTCAGTTTGAACAAGTATCGAATAAAAAACAAATTAAGCACTAAAAATATACGATATATAATTTGATTAACTGACCATTTGATCTCCTATGCAACAATATTGTTGCGTTAATATTTTTTTATTTTATTACTATTATGTGATCATTGTTTCTTTTCATCAAACATTGTCGCTTCATAATATTAGTATTATTATAGTACATAATCAATGCTATTTTTACAAGTATAATTCAGTAAAAATTTGAATTTTGTGCATAAAATTTAGGCTTGACTGGAGAACATTGAATAGAGTTTGAAGTAATGTATACTATAGAATTTGATTTATAATTTACTTTAACTTTGCTTTAATTACAGATTATGAACAACCTGAAATAATATTCATTATGGATTATACCATATCTATATATAAATAAATAGAATAAATAAATAAACTATATTTCATATCACTAAAATTAGTAATATACATAACTCTAGTGCAGATATTTGCATTCAGCATCTACAAATATAATATTCATAAAGCAAGTCAAATAATAAAAACAAATAACTAAAGGTTATATTAAAACCGCATGTAGATACTCATGCTTTTCAGGGTTCTGTGCAAATAGACTTCTGTTACATTGCGAATTGAATTATTCGACGTAGAAGTAAATATATAGACATGTATACAATTAAACTCATGTATCGGGGTATTATCTAGTCAAAACTAATTAATAATACAAAACCCAAGATCACCTCAGTCAAGCTAATGAAATTCTCAAACCATCAAAGTATTACTAGGATTACTATTGAGCCAAGATTATTCGGAGTAGCTTAATTTGGGACCACATCGATATAAGGGACTAGAAAAATAAAAACACAAGTTTGATTTTAGAAAAGTACAATATTTGTAATAATGTTGCGTAAATTGAATAACATTCACAAATTATAATTGAAACTTTTCATTCCGAGGATATTCAGGTATGCCAAAATGTTCAGGAGATATTAAAACGCGACTTTATGCAAAAAAAAATCAATTTAGAATCTTTGCTATTTCTATAACATTCTATGGAGAGTTAATTTAGTAATGTATAATCTTCCCATACTATTATCGTAGTTATTTTTATAATATATATCTCTATACTATTATTGTCAAATATCTCATATTATTGTAACAAACCTTAGGTGTTCCACCAGTTGTCGAAGCCTGTTTAACCAACATTGCAGGATCCAAGCTGTCTAAGTGAGTAAGGCTTCTGGATCGGACCTAAAACAAAAAATCATCTTTTAAAATTTATAAAAATAATAAAAATATAGCTTGCGTAAAAATGTAATAGAGGCCATAACACATATCGCTACAGTATGGCCATAAAATTTCATTAAATCAATAAACCATTATGGTGCATTTCATGTAATCTTTTCCAAATAGATTATAGATATGTAACAGAAAAACATTCCATACTATAACATTGTATCACACGTGTGGATCATAAATCACTTTATAAGAAACATGAGAATAAAATGAATGATGGCGAATCAGATCGCGCCGTAACTATAAAATAATCATTTTTTGTTGATCTAGAACATAATAATAATGCAATGAAATATATAACATAGTAAAAATATTATACCTTCCATAAATCATATTTTATATATATATATATATATATATATATTTATATATATCAGGATTGATTTTTAGACGCTGAATTATATTTAATATATATTTATAGCAGCCAGAATAATTCGTAGAATTGAAAAAATAAATTGAGATTGAAAATTCTTTATTTGCCAACGCAAACTACATTTTAAAAAATAATGGACAGAATATAATTATTTTATAGTACAATTTTAGATATTATTTTTATTTTATAAATTTCGTTATGATTTAGTATTTTAATATTAATTAAAGTTGGTCCTGGTATGGTATGAAAATGTTTTCAAAATTTAAATAAAAATCTATTTTTCTATCAGTATATAATTTTTGTGATTTTATTTCAAACTAGCTGACCCAACAGACGTTGTCCTGTACCCATGCCTAAAAACTCAAATTTTTTAAAAACCTATACTGGTATTTACCGTTTAGTTAAAATAATCATTAATGTTTTTACACTACAATCTATACCGAAATGTATGTACAATTTCTACACTTAAATTCCAATTATACAGTAAAAACCAAATCAGCTACATCACAACATATAACATATATCAAACAGATAAATATCGAAATATGATTATTAATATTGTATATAAATAATTTTACACAACATTTTTCAGAACAAATTTATTTTTAATATATCAATTAACGGGATATACAATATTTTTTGTCAGACCTGTAGGTGCATAAATAATTAAATTGTTTGTACTTCTAACTCTCGAGTAAGCCACATATAGTTAATAGTATATTAGGCTATGACTAAAACGTGCATTTTTTAAGTAAATTTCGCAAAATAACTGTAAATAATTAACTGTATATAGCCGATTGGTGTATAATAAATGATTTATTTATAAAATTAATTAAATTAAAATTAATTAAATAAATAAATTAGTAAATAAATAAATAAAATAAGTTTATTGTCTGCCCTTGTGACTTGGAGTTCCATCTAACAATTTATATGTTTTTTTTAGATAAATATCGAACAGTGTGGCTTATTGCTCAAACCTAACCGTACTTTGCATTTGAACAATTGAATATTCACACAAATTCCATACTCCAGACTAAACCTTAAAAGAAATGAAAACATTCTATTTGGATAAAAGATGCAGAATTAAATTACGAATAAAATGATATATAAATTGTTAAGTGTGTTCATATAATTTTCTCGAGATTTTCTAGTTTTCCTTGAATTTTACTACTGCAACTCGCTTGTAGGCCACACCGTTAGGAATTCGAAGTTGCGAAATATGAGAAAAAATCTAAGAATTTTGAAACCTTTCTAACGATGTATTATACTTTGTTTTCTTTAGAGAAATATCGAATAGTGTGAACTGTAAACTATTGAATATTCACACAAATTACTTACTACAATCCAAATTGTAAAAGATACGAAAAAATTTTGTGCGGACGAAAGATGCAGATTAAAATTACGAATAAAATGATATATGAAACGTTAAGTGATTCTACGTTTTAGTTAGAAAACGTTTGTATGTGAAAAAGAAAATGGCTGTTTTTAGGGTTTTCCGGCAATTATTCGATTTTTTCTCGCCGTAAGAACCATCCTTGGACATCAACGAACATTTAAAAAAAAGAATTGGCCAAATTGGTCTAGGCGTTGTTGAGTTATGCGCTTACCAACACATTTTGCAATCCATTTTTATATATAAGATAATGATGACACACATGAAGTATCAAAACATATATAAACTAATAATTGTCCGTATTTTTCTTTTTAATTTGACGATTTGGCTACCATATAAATATCAGGTATACATATAACTTGATAATATATAATATATATTATATACGTATATTACTAAGAAATGTACGAATAATTTTTTTGTTTTATAGCTCTAGATTTGACCATTTTTTTAAAGTTAATTTGTTTTATTTAATATTAATTGTTCAATAGATCATTATCAAAAAGTGTTATAAAAATCAATTTTAATTCATCTAATCACTTAAGTCAGTTCGATCAAATATATTATATCAGGTACTTCAATATTATTTCACCCCAAGAACAATTACATGGATAAAAATGGACGGGGGTATTATAATTTTATTTTTCAAACTTTATTTCTTATTTCTTAATAACATTTTACTACACCATTTACAACAGTACAAGTTGATGAAAATTTGAATAATACACATAAATAATCTACGTTTGATTGGAGATTGATCAAACTTTATAATGAAGAACTTCTTTGACAAATATTATATTTTCTGTTTGTTTTGTTACTTTTGAATTTTTCATATTAAAATTGTTCTACTATACTGCCGGTTTCTAAATGTACTTTAAAATAACGTTACAATTATTACTTATTATAAATATTATGATAAAGACTTAAAATATGATTTATTATCATTGATTATGGATTACTCGTGAATAATTTAGGTAAATAATTGAATAATATATATATATATATATATATATATATGTATTCTATTATGGCATCTGTCTATAAATACAGTGCATGATGGTAAGTATCAAGTTAATAACATGTTGGAACACCACCATTTAACTATAAAACAATTAAAAGTAGCAAACGTTATTTAAGTGTCACGTAATTCTTTGTAAAAATGTATTATCTATTATCGAACTTTTTCTAAGACTATTTTTCTGAAACTTTCAAGCTACTACCATCAACTAATTGGTGTAAAGACTTGTTCGACGTTCGTGCGAATCCAGACGAAAAAAAGTGACCACGCTAGTTGATCCGGCTTAGTGACGTCGCACAAGATCGATAAAACCAATTCCTTATTAAACTTTTCTCAAGTCCAATCACGTAACATTCCAAGCATATGAGCTTTATCCTTCCTTTTCTGCTGAAGATTACACAACACTATAAAATAAGTCGAAGAGAAATTTCGCACTTCAACCGCGAGAGGAAAAAATATAATAAAGTACCAAATGCCTTAAAAACGTTTAAAAGGCCATTAATCTTCTACATAAAATTCGAGAACAAATAAAAATGATGGTAAAAACACCCTTACTTTTTGTTTTTTGATGATGATATTTGCATATCTTATCATTATTGTAAAGGAATCTTAATTTAAATCAAACTTATATTTTAATTTAATAATTAGGAGTATATTGAGACGAAATTACAAAAGAACGTAAATAAAAATGCATCAAAGATATTTTTTTAAATTATTATCAATGACTTTGTAGACAAGTATACATTAGCCATTTTCATTTACGATTATTATTCCGTACAATTAGTATGCAATATTTATAATTTCATGCTACTAGATTTAATATATTTATAAATTTAAATTTCCGCCCTCACAAATGTCTATATTGAGACATTTTAGTAAATAATCGAGTTACTTTTGACTGCTTTCAGTCAGTGAATGTTTTGCACTGAATTTGGAATAAAATTTTCTCATGTTTATAGAAAAGCTCAAATTTTACTTTAATTTTTTTTATTAAGGGTTGTCTATCCATTTCTGTTAATTTTTCCCAATAATCCTATATTTGTAATAGTCATCTTAGTAATTTAATCATTTTTATCTCGCACAACAATTGATCAATTAGCATCTTTTTGTAATTTAATATAGTTTTTCCCTGCAAATTTTTAAATATCGACTTGAATATTGTATTAAAATAGCAATGAGAATATTCTAATTTATCTAGCAAAATGTTTTTTAGGGGTTTTGGGGTTGATATATTATTATATTTGACACAAAATTGATATTATCACAAAATATTCAATTTCGACTTATGTTTCAAATAGAGAAAGTAGTTCTTCTGCATTTTTTATTATTAAAATAATTTTCTAATGAAAAACTCAATGCTTAATATATTATTTCTGAGAATTCTAGTAGGCAAAATTAATTTTTTCCTAATTATCATATCCTTGTGAAATAGTTTTTAATTTTTATAACGTTTCGCACTGATTGAATTCACTGAATATTCTTGCTGTCTGGAGCAGAATTCAACTTTGGATAATATCCCTTAACTAACTCGAGCATAATGCTTAATGCATTTGACAGACGCTTTTTGATACAATTTAAGAAAAGGCGTAGGAAAACTCTATTTGTGTGCATCACTTGAGCTTAAGAACTGCATTTCCATAATGGCAGTAATTTTTATAAGAGGAATAGTATAGTTTGAATGGGGACTTTTAAACTTTTTGACATTTAAGTTCAACACTTTTTTGTCTGGCGGAGTCTTCAGTACAACATTTGACACTGCAACAATGACGATTATAAAAAGTTATAGCGCTATTAAATGGTAAGTCTGAAAAATCTCATTTATCAATTCAAAATAATAGAAATTGACCTTTAAAAAACATGGATCAAAAAGGGTACCACAGTACGAACATCTACTAAGTTGTGTAATACATAATATAAATATTATTTCAATAAAAAAAATAAACTGTAAGTCATAAAGAAACAAATAAACTTGACCGACAAAAAGAATAATACTGCCATAAAAAAGCTCAAATTAATTAAAAAAGTCAAGAGCAAAATTATTAAAAGCCCCAAAAGAAAAGGAAATATGTTCTTCATATACACTTTTCCTCAAATAAAATATTCGCTTTGTTCAAAACCAAGCATCGCAGATTTGTATTTACATATTTCTAGTTAATCATAAGTATGGAAAT